GCTTTGAGAGACGCTACATATCACTCAAGCATTGTTGCCAGTGATCTGTTAATTGGGGTCGGTTTGTTTCTCTCTGCGCTGAGTGACAGGCATTGTGTCTTTTTCTGGTTGGCCTTGGTCGTTGACTTTGGAGTTGATGTTTGTGCATGTCCCTGCAACCCTGCACTGGATAAGCAGTTGGAAGATGGATGGATGGATGTCTAATGTCATTATTTTACCACAATCCAGGGGACCTGATCCGTGTTAATTTTATATGCACATTCTTGTTTTATTTAGCCAAAGAAAATATTTCCCAATTCAAATAATTTTAGGAAGGAAAGGCAGCACCAACTGCTCTCTCTAGTGGTCAGGGTGTGAGTGTGTGTGGGAGGGGGGGTAGTGTACCACTGCGTGATGCTATCTGTCCTCCCACAGGCTCCAACTACTCGAGCCCCTCCCTCGCGGCCCCGCCCAGCCTAAACGACCGCGACCATGCGGTGGTGGGACTGGCCCCGGAGCACATCGCCACGCCTGGAGCGGCGCTCTCCTGGCAGGCGGCCATTGACGCCGCGCGGCAGGCCAAGCTGATGGGCAATGCGGCCGCCCCCATCTCCACGGCCAGCTCCACCCAGCGCAAGCGGCAGCACTACAGCAAACCCAAGAAGCAGGCCAGCACGGCCGTCACCCGGCCCCCACGCGCCCTGCTCTGCCTCACCCTCAAGAACCCCATCCGACGAGCCTGCATCAGCATCGTGGAGTGGAAGTATCCTTCACCGGTGGGGTTGGGGGTGGGGGTGTCTGCACATTCCTTTCAGAGCTCTTCCATTCAAATCACATCACTTCATTTGTCACATAAGTTGAAAGCTGGTTAGCAAAAGCAAGTGAAAAACTTGTGTGCAAAGTCCCACAGCAGCAGCAATGAAAGAGTGCAGCTAAAACAATGAAACTAGACTAGACAATAATGTAAGAGGAAGTCAGCAGGGAATGGAAATATATGTTATTGTTTTAATATATAATGTGCAAATTGTAGAACAAATGCTTCGAACAGCCATGTGAATATGAACCATGAATATTGACCGTCTAATATGCTGTTGGAAGACTTGGGTGTTCTCTTTGCGGGATCGAGGGGGTTCTGGGTCACTGCCTGATGGGGACTGTGAGCATCTCTTAGCCCGAATTCAGGTCCATGCTTGGATCTCTCGGGAGCCCGTCTCGGTTCAGTGACATGTCATCTTTATTTGAGGGACTTGCTAATCGCTGTCGCCACGGAGACGTCGCCACAGCCAGCCGGATGGAGCTTGGAAATGGAAGTGTTTTCTTTCTCTTTGCTTTTTTGAGCGCTTCCCTCAAGCATGGCTAGATGTAGGACCAGAATCGCAGGCGAACGAGGATTATTTTAAAAACGAATCGAATTGGAAGCCATGGGAAAAAGCCACGAAGCGGCTGTCGTGCCCCTCGTTGGCTCATCGAGGTGTCAGTGTGTGTGTGTGTGTGGGGGTGGGGGGGGTCTGCGTCATCGCTATCCACTGCTGGATCTGTCTGGCTCGTGTGCGGCGTGCCCAGCATGTGTGAGCTGGGAGGGGGAGGTGAATCAGAAGTACAGAGAGGGAAGGCATTGGGTTGGGGGGGGATGAGTCACAAAGCAGCAGATACCCTGTGTAAAGCACGCCGAGATTACGCCCCCTCCCTTCGCATCAACAAGATTGGGGACAGCCCGTCTGCTTGCCGTAGCCCCCCCCCACACACACACACCCACCGCACTCCTGTTCTAAAATTGACATTCATTTCTGTTGAAGGTAACAATATTTTTAAGCAGTATTTTTAAGCGTGTGTCAGAGTGGATGGATGGAAGGAGTGGAGGATGTGTGACACTGTAGGTAACGGCGCTTACGTCACCTCTGATGGAAGACCGATGGCTCCCAGAAGCCTGGCCCCTCCCCCAAGGGGCCAGTGGAGACCATCACGATTGATTGGACATTATGGCCCCTTTCGACCATTCAACCTCTGACCTTTATGATTACCCAATTACATCACGGCGCCAACAAAGACATACAGTGAAAAATAGCCGTCTGGGAAATAAGGCATCAGGTTGAATGGTTAACTGGGAGAATTAGGGGTAAGAAGCATTGATCACTGTGGAAAAATCCCATACTCCATTGCTACTGTTTTCTGAGGGTGACTGTTTTTTTGTCCCCCCTCTCCAATGTCATGTGACAGTTATTTTTGGGCGCCACGTCGATGTTCTCCACCTGTAAAGCCACCTCCCCACCCTGCTCGAATAGTTCAGCCTTCAGAGAGACTGCCCCCACTTCACAGCTCCTCTCCTCCTTGTCAGTGTTGCCATGCCAACAAGCTTCAACAGGTCAGATGGGTCCGCTGGAGCACTCCGCGGTCCTCCGTCGGCTGATTCCGCTGTCGGGCACTGTCTCCGAGCAGACAAACCCAACATGGCCCCTGTGGGCTCCACACCTAGGAGACCCACCTCTCAAGCCACCTGGTCGTCCTCCCTGGCACCTGCCCCTAGCCATTTGCAGGAAGATATGTGTGGCTTTCAAACAGTAACCATCTTGTTTTGGAGACAGTGCCACCCGACCCGGAAAGAAGAGCCACCTCTTTGCCATATTTATGCGAAATGGCATTAGTGTGCACATGATATTTGATCATTACATTAATGGCTGCTGCAAAATGGCAAATGCTAGATTAGTTTCACTGAAGGGTCACAGCAGCTTTGCTTATTTTTTTTAAAGGTGCATTTCAACCCCTAGATGACTGTTTACAGTAGTGAATGCTACACTCATGCACCTGTGAGAGTTACCACGGAGAGCAAACGGAAAGACATCGCAGAATCTGATTTCATTTCATTCATAGGCCTGTTTATTTAGCTGGCCTGATCTGGAACTGATGTGAATTGTTCACTGAGCAGGATTGTTAGCTAAGGCTCAGCCATGACGAAGCCAAACGGACACTCAGAACCTCCATTGAGCAGAAGGGAACATGGGCATGGAAACAAGTGCTAAGGCCCCAACTCCTAGAACCCAGTGTCATTGTAGAAAGGGGGGAACCAGGGAGTCACAAACCTGAAATTAGCTCTGGAAAGTGGAGCTTCTTCTTCTTCACAATGGGAAACCAGGGCCAGTCGTCTCAAACTAGCCATGACAGAAGGAGTTGTTCTGGTGTCGTTCTTGTGCTTAACCCCATGGAGAAGGTTGGGGTGAAGCTTGGAGGTTAATGTGATGGGGCCAGGACCTTCAAACATTGAGTTCAAATAAAGAAACACTGATCCCCAGGATGGCTTCCCCCACATTCCCTGCTTCCGGCCAGCCACGCGACCATCCTGTCTACTCCATGGACATATTAGGCCTGGTCTTGGCTGGGTCTTCTGTGCGCAGCAGATGTTTTACATAGCATTGTTAGGAAGTGTCTGACAGGGTGTTCTGGCTTGACGTTCTCCGTCTGTTCCATCCTTGACTTGGTGCCTCCCAGACCCTTTGAAATCATCATTTTGCTGACTATTTTTGCAAACTGCGTGGCCTTAGCTATCTACATCCCCTTCCCCGAAGATGACTCCAACGCCACAAACTCCAACCTGGTGAGTAACGAGGGTTGTTTACTAATGGCTGGTTTCGCTGTTTCACTGGGGGCCAAGCGACATGCCATTTAGAAGGTCGCGGCTCCACGCGGTTGTGTCTGCTGTGGGTGGAGCAGTGACTCAGCGTTTTCCCTTTGAGTGTTCTGTTGGAGCTCCTTAAAAACAGAAGACCCATTGCTGCAGTTACGTTGGGGGCCAGCTAGTGGATATGTGCTTCTCCGGAATCTTGATGATCCACACTTTCTGGTTGTGAATGATTTAATCTATTTCGGGGATGCAGGTTTGGGTTATGCTGGGAGCGATGAAAGGATTAGGCCCAGTAGGGTTCAGAAGGAAAGTGGGTAAGTTCTCCCCTGAAATGTTGGTCCTTTTTATTTAAGTGCAGTTCTCAGTAGTGACAGCACAGTGCTTTACTTTGAGCAGATAGCGGGGTTTGGTTTTTTTTTCTAAAGGATGCATGCAGTTCAGGTGTTATTGGTGTTGATGCCAAAACAGGAGACAAGAGAAAGTTTGTCTGGAAAAGTATGCCCCCCCCCCATCCCCGCTCTTTGATGTTTCAAAGATGCTTCTACCAGGTAAAAAGGAATGACTTGGCACATGGGCACCTCTTCCATAGGTGGCAGCCCTCATCAACAGGACCAGAATGACTGTTTCATTGTTTTGTTTTGTTTTGCTTTGCATTGCTTCCCAAACAGGTCAGTCTGGCCTTTAAAGTGTTTCATTTATCCATGTGGGGGCCCATATATGAGAATAGATGTACGCATAGGTTAAGAAGAGGATTTCCTGCAGCCAGTGCTCAGGGGCTGAATGTAGGCAGCTGGGGTCCTGTGTTGGCTTGTAACCTCCCACAATGTCCCTTACCCCCTCTTCAATACGCAGACAGGAAACCCAGCGGCTGTCCTGGCAAAATGACATTCGACAGAAATCCCACCTCTATAAATACGTCTTTCCTTCAGAAATGGTAACAAGCAGAGAAAGGCACCGTCCTCTGAAGCAGCATGGAAGGGATATGGGAGGCAGCAGAGGGAGAGCTTTCGGTGTGTAGCCCTGCTGAAGTGGGGGGGGGGGGGTGGCGCGTCTGCCGTGTCGGCACACTGCGGCAAAGGGGATGGAGGAAACAAAGAACTCCTAATCCTAATGGGAGATCTTCCTCACGGCAAAAGTTAAGTCATGGGTCACTTCGTCAGTGTCATTTCTCATGGGAGCTGATAATTTCCCTCAAAAAGATGGGGTGCGGCAGAATTGCTCGCTGTTGGTTGCCTGCCTCCCGCCTTTTCTGCTTCTCCTGTGTGCCCCCAGGCTGCTTCGGAGGCTTCCTGTACCCTCTTTGCTAACCCCTGTCTCAAGGGCCCCAGACCCTGGTGCTTGTTTCATCACCCGAAGAGGAGAAACGCAAACGGTAGCCGATCCCATGGCCGGTTCTACTCCTCCGACCCGTTTCGACCGCTGGCTCCGAGCTCACATTACAGAAGAGCCCGTGTCCAGTGATAAATGGTTGCTAAGATCATCCTTAGACACTGTTTGACCTGCACGCCGAAATCGATGAGCATCTGCGGGCTCGACGTGACCAGATAGATCCATACCGGTCAGTCGATCCTTTTAAATATCACCGGGGGACACTTCCTGCTTTTCCAGCATTTAATCGGCCTGCATCTGGTTCTTATGTCGTTGGAGTCAGAACGCCCATGATCCCTATTAAACATGGCAACCGTCCATGACAAAATGGAAATTCTGTAAGCTTACAGGTAGCCCTCAAAAAACCCGGAAAGCATACAAACGTCGGCAAAGGGCAAGGTCATGGCACCGGGGGTGGCCTACACCTTCTCTCTGCTTCATCCGCGTTTTATTTCAGGGCTTGTTGTTCCGTGGCTTTGAAATAGTTCAAACGGTGATATTTAGCTAGCTGGTCAAACGGATGTATCGTGGTTATGTATTCCCGTGCGCGGAGCACGCCGAGGAAAGCGAACTGAGAAAAATGGAGATCCGACCCACAATGTGGCAATGAATTGAACAGGTGGCCATCAGCGACGGATGCGGATGTCTGTGGGGGATGTGCATGCGTGCGTCCGCGCGTGTGTGTATGCTAACAAGACTGTCATGAATATCCTGAAAATGGCACCCGTCAACGCAACCCTAACACATATTTTGTAAATAGCCATGGAAGATATAAGTGTTATGAATATTTAAAGGGTTACAATTAAGTGGTATAGTGGAAGGGTAAAGTGAGGCCGTGGAACACCAAACTGGGTACGAGGCCTGTTAACGGTCTATTTCCGCTATCCTATCTTTGGCTATGCAGATCAATGACTCATCTTGCTTCTTTTGATTGCACCAAGAGCTGGGTTTTTTTCGCTCTTTATTTGGGAGGAGCAGACTCGACGGCTATGTTTAAAAAAAAAAAAAACAAAACAAAAAAAAGATGGTGGCTTTTTATCCATGTGGTGTGCAGGAGTGTGGTGAAACCCGCCTACAAGCCCCCCGTGCACCCGCATCACTCTTGGCTAATCAGCACTCTGCCAGTTTGCCTTTAATTTCCACTCACATGCCAGACTTTTATTCTCTTAAATAAGGATCCTCTGAATAGGAAGTGGTCTGCCGGAAGTCCCGCCCCTTTCCGCCACACCTAAAATCCCAGAAATGCAGCCAAAACTCTGCACTGCCAGATGTGCCCCCCTGACCCTGACAGCGACAGTGTTGAGGGTTCTAGTGAAGGATTCCTCTGTGCAGGACCAAAGGACGGAGGGGAAAAAAAAAATACGAATGGGGATGTGACGCTCGGGCGGGTTGTCATGGATATGGCAGCCTGGCAGTGCCCACACGCTCCGCTTCCCTGGCGCTCAATGCCGCCCCCGTACCCGGTTGACGAACCGCGGCGGGGACTGGCCGGGCTTTTGACAGCGCTGGCTATTGTGCTTCCTGCCGTATTCCTTTGCCGTGGAGACAAAAGGTCTGTGCCGATAGATGCAAGTGGCAGAAATCACAAAAAAAAAACACCCCATCCCCCAGACAAGCGTTGGGTGGCGAGACGGTGGTACAGAACCTTACGATCCTTGTTTTTTTTCCTCCCATTCCTTAGAAAAACAGCTAAAAATAAGATGGTGACTGCTAATATGTGACCTGCTTCCAACCCTGTTCATTAAGGGCAGGCTGTGGAGGGGGGGGGGCATGCAGAAAGCGTGAGAATGGGAGACAAAGCGGATTGAGCATGCTGGGGGGGCTTTTTGGGAGCCAATGGGCCAATGCTGGATTGTTTGGATCGGTATGCCTGTGATATTCAAAAATATTTGCACCCCCCCCCCCCCAGTTAGCCTTGATAATACCCCAAGTCTGGGCATGTTTCACTGCGAGCCTCCAGCCTCATGACAAAAACACACAGGCGGGGATATTGCAGGCTGCCATTACTGCGAGGAGGTGGGCTAACGTGCACCTGTTTGATGGCGGAGCAGCAGTGAAGGTTCAAACAGGCGAGCAGTCTGTGTGTGCTGTGTGCCGTGTGTGCTGTTTGTGTGCTGTGTGTGTGCTGTGTGCCGTGTGTGCTGTTTGTGTGCTGTGTGTGTGCTGTGTGCCGTGTGTGCTGTTTGTGTGCTGTGTGTGCTGTGTGTTGTGTGTGCTGTGTATGCTGTGTATGCTGTGTGTTGTGTGTTCTATGTGCTGTGTGTGTGCTGTGTGTGCTGTGTGTTGTGTGTGCTGTGTGTGCTGTGTATGCTGTGTGTTGTGTGTTCTATGTGCTGTGTGTGTGCTGTGTGTGCTGTGTGTATGCTGTGTGCTGTGTGTATGCTGTGTGTATGCTGTGTGCTGTGTGTATGCTGTGTGCTGTGTGTGTGCTGTGTGTGCTGTGTATGCTGTGTGTTGTGTGTTCTATGTGCTGTGTGTGTGCTGTGTGTGCTGTGTGTATGCTGTGTGCTGTGTGTGTGCTGTGTATGCTGTGTGTTGTGTGTTCTATGTGCTGTGTGTGTGCTGTGTGTATGCTGTGTGCTGTGTGTATGCTGTGTGCTGTGTGTGTGCCGTGTGTGCTGTGTGTTGTGTGTTCTATGTGCTGTGTGTGTGCTGTGTGTGCTGTGTGTATGCTGTGTGTATGCTGTGTGCTGTGTGTACAGTATGCTGTGTGCTGTGTGTGTGCTGTATGTGTGCTGTGTATGCTGTGTGTTGTGTGTTCTATGTGCTGTGTGTGTGCTGTGTGTATGCTGTGTGCTGTGTGTATGCTGTGTGCTGTGTGTGCCGTGTGTGCTGTGTGTTGTGTGTTCTATGTGCTGTGTGTGCTGTGTGTATGCTGTGTGTATGCTGTGTTCTGTGTGTGCTGTGTGTATGCTGTGTTCTGTGTGTGCTGTGTGTGTGCTGTGTATGCTGTGTGCTGTGTATGCTGTGTGTGTGCTGTGTGTGTGCTGTGTGTGCTATGTGCTGTTGTGTGCTGTGTGTATGCTGTGTGTGTGCTGTGTATGCTGTGTGCTGTGTATGCTGTGTGCTGTGTGTGCTATGTGCTGTGTGTGTGCTGTTGTGTGCTGTGTGTGTCGTCATCTGACTTTCCAGAGCGCTCAGCATGTATACTGTCTTTTTATAGGTGACTCGCCACCCCCGGTCCAGTGATCCTGGGCTGCATTGTCACGCAGGGTTCGGGGGTGGGGTTGGGGGGGATTGTACAACCCACGCCTAGGTGATGGCTGACATGATTTAAAAAAAATTAAAATTCTGAAAGGCTGGAAGTCAAGCCATACAACAGTCACTCTGAATGGGCCACAGATGTTATGGATTTGTTGGGATCTTGCTACTCTTCTTTTCAAGAAATAACCAGAAAAATACCAGGAGATAAGATGGGAGCGAGAGAAAGAGTTTCCAGTGGAGAAAGGGGGGAAGGGACAGATCAGAGGGGTGCGGTCACAGGACGAACCGTTAATGGCGGTCTGGATGAGCAAGGTTACCAGGCTTCCTTGGGTGACACCAGTGAGCCGGGGCTGCTGAGATGAGGTTCCTCTCTCAGAAGGATTTATGGGTCTTATGTCCCT